GGGCATAGAGGACCTACAATAATGCACAGTATTTGAAAAAGAATGTGTTTTTGAACATTAAAGCATGTCAACATATTCTGTTACACCAAATACACAAAATAATGATCTTTAAAAAAGCATCATATGACCCCTTTAATATAAGAAATCCTACATGACACCGACAACCACTAATAGCACAACTGAAAATGTCTGATTTGTTACAGCAAACAATCAGCAGCGCTAAATGAAGTTGCTTTAAGTCATCACTTGGGTGGGAGGCAATCACATTGCATGTCAGACAAAATTATAAACAATCACTTTATTGCATTTCTTTACAATAGTTTATTTATTTACATTTAAAAACGATTAAACACTAGCTGCAGCTGATGTAATTAAAAAGCATCAGCGTGTGTTATTGAGGCCCACTTTGTTACACAGATAGTCCATTAGATCCTGTAAAGATCACAAATGTCGGGTTATGCTACATTTCAGTGCCTCTTTAAGCAGCCACTTGAAATTATGCAGGTTTTAAACTGCTCACCTTGATCTTTCGCATCTGATCTACAGCCGCAGCATCAAGCAACTCGACATTGATGTCATCTTTATTGTCTTCAGAAAGGAACAGCGTCTTGAAAAGGTGGAAAAGGATCATTGTTGAATGCTATATGGAGCAAAATAAACGTTGCAATATACACACACTCACTTCTCCATGGGAAGTTACTATTGTTGCTGTAGCCATCATTTCATCACCGACAGAGCGACTTGTTTGTCTGTTAGTCCAAAGAAAAACAGCATTTTTAGTGACAATCCACTTCTGAAAAGAAACTCACCTTGGGTACTTTTTGCACTGATAGTTGATGCACACCTGTCAATGAGAGTAAAGAGGGATCAAAATTGATATAAGCACCATCAGACCATAAGGAATGAGCTTTAAAACTTAAATAAATAAATAAAATAATAATAAAGTAATATTTTGTATTTTGAAATGATTTCATGCTACTAGACAACATTCACCCCACTGCAGAAAAATACAAATACTAAAAAAGTTCATATTTTCAATTAACAGTTTAAGTTAAAAATACAGCAAAGGCATTTAGAATGCAATCAAATGCATCAAAGGCAGATTGGTGACATCTGGTGAGAGAAATAAAGCAAATCATGTATAATATCATGGTGTAACCACCAGATGCCTGTACAGCCCTGTATAAAGAGTGCGGTGTATTCCCTAGTTGCTTTTAGTTTTTTTTCAGACTTAAAAAACATTATTAGATTTTGCATTTGGATATTTAATTATCATTAAAAAGTACTATACTTTTATTTTTGTTTTCATATTTTCATTTTTAGATTAATTTCCTGTGGCGGTCACAAAGATTTTTTTTTTTTTTTTTTTAAGACCAGAAGTGTCAGAAAAGCCAAACAGGACAAAAGTTTACCTCATGCTTCCAGTGCTCTTGCTGTTGTGTAGGGTCTTCTTAGCAGGTTTCTGTGAGGACAAGGCTCATAAGTAAAATTGAAATTAGGCACCCACAAAGATGACTAAACAAATGGAGGATCAGTGCCTTTGGGCCTTCCACCGCAGCAGTCTTGTTTTGACCCGATGACCTTTGTTGGCCTGCTGTGGCATTTAAGCCTAAAAGAAATGAAAGCTAACCTTAAAAGAATTGAAGTTACATTTAACGCATTATTTAATAAGTTGCCTCAAACCTTTTTTGCTTGGTTTTCGAGATAGAGGTTTGTGAATTTCTGGAGACGCACACTAAAAGAAAAAAAAAAAGACCGAAAACAACCACCGGAACCAATTTGAGTGGTGCGGTTACCTTAAGCGAACACCAGAGGGCAGCAAAATCATTATTTTACCGTGAGTGCCATAGTGACCTCTCCCACAGACGTGTCATCGTCTGAAAAACATTATAGATCATGAATACTAATAATTGTAAAACCATCAAGACAGGACGAACAGGCTCTGTGATCGTCGTACCATTCATTAGGTCTTTTATCAGCGTGGTGTGGAGGGATTGCGGCATTTTCATCAGCTCTATTTTGAAGACACGGTCTACAGTTGCCAGTAGTTTGTTCAGATTGGCCTCCATTTCATTTATCCGGTCCTGGGCTGATCCGGTGCAAGCAAAGGACTGGGTTCATTTTTATATGTATACAAGATAGAGTATGTATTGACTAATATATGACTGACCTTCCTTCTCAAACTGTTGTATAAACAGCTCTTTTCTCTTGGTAAGTCTAATTTTCTGGTCACAGTTGTGCTGCCCGTCGGGCTGCCCTTCAGAATCCTGACTGACTTTTCTAGTTCTTCGTGGAGCCATGCTAATAATAATAATAACACAAGACAGAACTTCAGATATTTTTATGAACTGCACGAACCTCGGAGCAGATGCTCACCAATTACCTTCTTCTGTTTTTAAGTGGTCTTCTTCTTCTTCTTATGATGTTTAATGGCGGTTGGCAAACCAGCTTTTGGTGCATATTCCGCCACCTACTGGGATGGAGTGTGAGGCGCTGATATCAAGGGAAATGCTAATTCTCAAAAAAAAAAATTTAAAAAAATAAATAAAAAACACCTTCTACCTATATTTTATTATATAAATTTGTTATTTTCAGAAAATTTCAGTACTTTCTAATTCCCCGCCTCCCATTCCATCCGTCTCCGGATCACTTCCTGAATCTACGCAACTTCCTTCCATCACCACCTCAGTCACACCCCAGTGTTGCCACCCGTTTGGACCCACTATTGTTATCTCTGTTTTTAGTGGTGATTGGCAAACCAACTTAAAAAGTTCACTACCGCCACTTACCGGACTGGAGGCGCTTAGTTTAGGTCTGGTGTTCGCGGACCCGTGGAGGTTCGTAAGGGAACTGAAAGGGGTTCGTGAGTTGATAGAAAGCTAATAATTAGGCTTATTTAAATCATAAAACATAAATGCACCCAATGCAAAAAAAAAAAACCTAATAATTAATTAAATCATAAAAACATCAAATATAAATAAATAAATACTTAAAAAATAAATGCTAAATAATTTTGATTGATTTTATTTGTTTACTTAAACAAGATACATGAACAAATCTGTTGTTAAATTTAAATAATTAAATTAAAATCTTAGTGGGTACTTCATCTAAATATTTTAGATCAAAGCGGTTCGGCTGACAGAAAAGTTTGGGAACTTTCTGGTGGTTTTATTTATTTATTTATATAATATTTTGTGTTCTTGTCTCATCAGTAAAATATAAGAAAATATAACCACATTTTTCACAGTATCCAGATCCTTTCTTAATGATTTTAACCAGAATGTCCATTACAATATTGTTGCTGTACCATTCATCCCGTTTTTATGGCACCAGTAAAGAATTTGATTTAATTAACGATAACTGCAGTAACCAGTTGATCTCTTTTTGCTAATATCTCTTCTCCTCCATCTATATTTGTTTGTGTTGATATGTTTCCTTCCTTCATTTGAGTGGGAACATTTGTGGGGAGTTCTTAGTCGGTATTGTGTTACAAATAAAACCAAAGAAGTGTCTTTTAAAATTGCTCACAGAATATATCCTGTGAAAGAAACATTAAAGCGTTTTCATCTGGATATAGACTACAATTGCTCTTTTTGTAATTTAGAGAGTCTATCATTCATTTATTTTTTGAATGTCCCTGTTCATCTTTGTTTTGGTCTGAGATGTCACAATTTCTAAGTGTTAAAATGAACTGCATCCTAATTTATCATCCGTTTTACTTCATTCAAATTAATATGCCTTTTCTAAAAGAAAAATATTTATGGATTTGTTTTTGTTATTAAGAAAATTTTATATTCATCAAACTAAAAGGAGTAACTCGAGATCCAATTTTTCTCATTTTCAAACAGCCTTTAAAGTTTATTTAGAAACTGTAAAGTTTTTTTAAAAATCGAAAAGCCCAAAGAACTGTCTCTGCTAAATGAATTTAATGCCCACCAATTTTTTTCTTTCTCTTTTAAGTTCTTTTTTTTTATTATTGTGTTTCAATTTGAACTTACAAAATGTGTTAATGTGAGAAATACGTCAACTTGCTGTCGAATTCTGTCATTTTGAAATTTCAATAAAAAAAAGAAGAAGCTTGTAGTTGACTACGCGGCACCTAATTACGCTGGTTGCCAGCCGCCGTTAAAAGCCAAGAAGAAGACAGGTAAGGCCTCTGGCAAATATGGGAAAAATATTGGATGATGTCGTGGATAGTGGTGGAATCGAAGTGATTATTCAAAATGAAAGCGACAAAACAGCACCACGGTGTCCACATGGTATGAGATCAATTATACTTTTAGTGATGCCATGTCCGTTTTCTTGTTCTAAAATAAAATGAATACCATATGTAATCACCGATACGTGTTTTTCTCAGGACCAGCTCTGTTGTTCGAGAAAACTGGCAATGGAGAGGAGGAAGGAAGGAGATTTTACGCGTGTTCTGCTTGTCGGGACAGAAAGGACTGCAACTTTTTTCAGTGGGCAGACGAAAAGGTTAAATAGGACTAACATTGTTAAATACATTCTATTATTAATCCCTCATGACATTTAAAATTGAAAATATTTTTATTTTTAAACCTAATAGCAGTTACCCTTGCTGGACCTGTTTTGTCCCATGTCTCAAGAATGACTGATTTATTATTGTACCAATTTTAATCTAACATGTATACTTTTCAAAGTTTTCTTTGATGAAATGCTAAGAATTGCACAAACAAACTTAAGTTTGAATAAAATAAGACAAATATATTAAATCCCGTAAAGCCTGACATGAAATTATAGTTATAAACGTCTAAAGGTCTTTTTTTTTTTTTAAATGGAACAGTGGAAATATTAATCAGGAAACAGGAGGCACGTAGTAGATTGTGTGCAACAGGTTTTTCAGCAACGTTAAGAAATTAATGTATTAAATAAAGTAAGCTTTATAGGGTTATTATAAAAAGTAAAAACAATGATGGCTGAACACAAGAATGTAAGACATAATCTGCATATACAACAAAAATTAAAACCTAATCAAAGAACACTAAAAAAACAAATGTATGAATATTAGCATTTCATTCACTTGATTCGTTTAATTTATGCTTCAGATATCTGAGGCAAGAATGCTTGCCAGAGAAGAACATAACCGCTCCAAGATGCCTCTTTTCAGTCATCAAGAATATTGCTCTAGGTAGATAACTTTTATTTAAAAAATTAATAAGCCATGCTACACTCATCAAATAAGATACTGGCATGTCTGTTTATGGGAGATACTACAACCCACCAAAATCTTTCATATGTGCACATTTGTTTCTTTGACAGATTTAGAGAGTTTGTTTCTCTCCCGCTGGAGCAGAGAAGGTTCTGTGTGGACTGTCAGCTGTTGATCCTCCCTGGGGAATCGGCGAATCATGCAAAACACAGGGCACTTTCTGAGGACATCACAGTGCAGCGATTGAAAAGGCCCAGTCTACTTCTGTGTCCTCTGGACAACAAGAAGAGTAACGCACAATATCTGTTTGCGGACCGGAGCTGTCATTTCCTCCTGGATATGCTCTTGGGTTTAGGCTTCCAGAAAATTCTCTGTGTTGGGACACCACGTTAAGCATAAGTTGTTACTACTATACATATTAATATATTTAAAAAGTCTTAAAGTGTGTCCAATCATTTTCCTGTCAGTAAAATTGGCAAAATATCCAATGTAATGTATCTCCACGTTTTAACTTTGCAATTGAAATATTCTCTCTTACACATTCACAGATTACATGAGGTGATTAAGTTACGGAATATGGAGGGCAAGAGTCCTACAATGAAGAGTTTATTGCTGGATATTGATTACAGGTACACAATACAACATAATTCTTTGCAAATACAAGCTTAAATAGCTTAAAAATGTTAACATAGACATAGAATTAAATTCTGTTAAAGCAGCACTATGTAACTTTTTCTGTGTTCAAAATTTGCAAAATGTATATGAGCGAGTACATCACGAATGGTACACTTATAATAAGTACTTATATTTGGACTATTGTAGCCTGGTCGGGTCGTCACCGCTGCGGAGTAACACATACCTGCGTGAATCGCCATAGACATGTAGAGAAGTAGAGAAGTAGTTCCGGTTGGAATGTTCTTCCGCGGGATGTGAGCAGTTCTGTTTATTAACCGCTAGAGCGCCAAAAGTTACACAGCGCTGCTTTAAGAGGGTGCGCCACTCTTTTTGAGTATTTTATGTTGTTTGGAGTTTAATTAAGTATTTATTTTTATTATATGCTATACTATATATTTTACATTGTTTTGCACAAGGTACTAGAGTAGACTAAAGTAATAGACCGTTCCTTAAAGTTTACCTAGCTTTTTTGGTACAAGACAGTATATTATATATTATATGCTTGCACTATTAATAACTGATGCTCAGAAAGATTGTCCTGTATCTAAGAAATATAATATACATTACCATTCAAAGGTTTGGGGTCTTTTTAAAGAAATTAACACTTTTATTCAGTAAAGACTCATTAAATAGATCAAAAGTGTCAGTAATATTTTAAAATAATGTTGCAAAAGATTTTCTACGAAAATTGTTGCAGAAGTGGAATTATTTCAAAATATGAAAGTATCAAAAAGTTATAGAAGTTTACATTTACTGTAAAGAAAACACTGTACTATTTCTATTTTATTTTATATAAAATAAATATTTTTCATAACAGGTTTTACTCTAAAATTGCTATAAAATTAAAGCCTTATGTCTAAATAAGTTATGTTGCAAATTTGAAGTTGATATAAAAAAATTGAGGTTCCTGTGAGATTTTATTTAGGGCGTTATACCACAAACAGACACCGTTCGACACCCAAACGCCACTGAATTTTTTTAAATGCATTTTTCTGTCACAAATGTCAAAATTTCTCTGTCAATTTTACTATAAAAAAATAACCACCAAATATGGAATCGTGAGATTCAGACCTTTCAAACAATATGTATTTTGTCAAGATTATAAAAAGTTTTGATTCTAAAAGACCGTAATACATTTTGTAATATGACATTTGACCCCACCTGCTAAGGGAGAGGAGACCGCCAAAAGATTTAAAGTACCATTTCCATGGTAACGCAATGTCCGATTTCAGAATTGTCAAAGGGTTAATTTTATTTTTATCGAAGACACAAAAAGTACACAGCACAACCGTTTTCGATATTGCTAATTAATTAAAGACTGAGATTGCATATTTCCATATGATGATGGTCTTTGGATGAAAAAAAGCGGAAGGCTGGGTATAGAGGCTCAGTGAATTGATGATGTGCTCTGTCAAACACAGCTGTTTGCACTGCTGAAAACTCCTGCAGCGTTCTCATAGTCTCAGCATCATAAAACACCAAACGACCCTTCTGATATTTTACAAACACCCCTACTCTGTTTGTTGCTGCCCGAGCTGCTGTGACTGGTAGTGCCACATGTCGATCGTTGTGCCAGGCCATGAGATGCCCATCCTGAAACTCAAGACTCCACGAGCACCTGTTCCGTCCGAGCTTGGCACCTTTGTCCCGCCCTCTCCTCTGTAGGCTACCATAAGCCACGCCCACAGCCCATGATGGACAGCAGTGCACATCTACCTCCCAGTAGTGCTGCCCAGATTTAAAAGCAACAGAGCCCAAGGCGCAGTATAACTGATCAAACCTTAGAGGGTCATTGGGAATGCAGCGGTCCTCTGAGGAAAGGCACAGGCCCCGTCCTTCTGAGGTCACCTTGATCTGTTTGTGACAGGTCCGTTTGTCAATCACCACATTAGAGGAGTCTGTCAAAATGAAAGCAAGAATATTCAGAAACAGCTGATTTACCCACAACATATTCAGAACATTTCTTGTTATCCATTAGCTAATCCTTCAAATACAGTATGATATATAGAATATGTAATACAGTCTAAAAGTTTATGCAAACATATAAATTATACATTTAAGTATAGTATGCACTATATACACTACCATTCAGCAGTTTGAGTCAGTAAGATTATTTTTTTGAAAAACTCACTTAAATTCACGAAAGTTGCATTTATTTGATGAAAAACACATTAAATACAGTAATATTGTGAAATATTATTATAATTTAAAATAACAATTTTAATATATTTTAAAATATGATGCAAAGCTGAATTTTCAGCAGCCATTACTTCAGTCTTCAGGGTCACATTATCCTTCAGAAATCATTCTAATATGCTGATGTAATACCTAAGAAACATTTCTTAATTATTAACAATTTTGAAAACAGTTATGCTGCTTAATATTTTTTTGTGGGAACCATGATGCATAAATGGTTTCCATGATATATATATAATTTAAAAAATTAATTCAGGATTCTTTGATAAATTTAAAGTTCAAAAGAACAGCATTTATTTTAAACAGAAATCTTCTGTAAAATTATAAATGACCCTACTGTCACTTTTGGTCAGTTTAATGTGTCCTTGCTAAATAAAGTATTAATATAAAATAATATAATATTAAATACAAGTATTAATTTCTCTTTTTTTTTTTTTTTTTTTTTTTTTTGACCGTTTGAATTCAATTTCAGACTTGAAAAAGAATATCAGATTTATCGTCAATAATGATTCCATTTTTGAACCAGATTGAAATAACCACAATTTTTTATGTTTTTCAAAGAAGTCTCTTATGCTCATCAAGCCTGCATTCGTTTGATCAAACATATAGTAAGACTGTAATATTCTTGAAATCTTATAACAATTAAAAGTAAATGTTTTCTATCGAAGTATTTATTTTAAAATGTAACTTTTTCCTTTGTTGGCAAAGCTGAATTTTCAGCAGTCATTACTCCAGTCTTCAGTATCATATGATGATTTAGAAATCATTCTAATAGACTGTTAATAAACAGTTTTTGCTGCTTAATATTTTTGTGGAAACCATGATACATTTAGTTTTTCCTTTGGTGAATGGAAAATAGCATTTAGTTTAAAAAGATCTTTTGTAACATTATAAATATCTTTATTCTCACTTTTGATCAATTTAGTGCATTCTACAAGTATTAATTTTTCTTTTTTTTTTTTTTTTTTTTTATCTTACTGAGCCCAAACAGTATACACAGTATACATTTTGAACCATATACACACACACACATATGTATAATATATTTTCAAAATATATATTTATAGAATATATTTTGTATGAACTTGATTTATTCAGATCAAAATGATGGATTTTAGGGGCTGATAGTGTTTTTTACCCAGCAGCAGGTTCTTTCGTTGTAGCTGGGCTTTCAGATCTTTTGAGATGTTCCTAAGACCCTTCATGATCTTATGGATCCTTTCCTCATTCATTTTGATCTCCTCTTCACCTGGGTCCAGTTTCTTACGACAGCTGGTTGCATAGGATACATTGGAGTTGTATAGTTATTTAACTGTAAACATTGTAACGTATAGCATGTTTGCTACTGAAGAGAACATAGAAAGGCATGTTGTTTTGAAACATAATTAGGTCATCTATAAGTATTTGTATTAAGGACCTATCACAAAATCCGCTATTTGTGAAATGGAAAAACATGGGCTTACGTAAAATCCTCAGGAAAAGGCTGAAAGCAGAGAACATGCAGAAGAGAATATATGTGATCCCTAGATTTTGTCAACAAGATGATTACAATGATATGAAATACATGTTTCATTGGATGGTTACCTGCTTCAAGGATTCTGCTGGGCTCTGTTGAGCTAATTGAATAGTGCTGATGTGTTTCTGCAGGAGGCCAAGGTGTTGATTCCAGTCTTGAAGAATTCGGTTTAGTTTACTGCTGGTCTCCCGGCGGTCTTGCTCTATCATGTCCAGAACAGCCTTCTCATCCTCCTGCAGAGCCATATGTAGCTCCTCAAAGCACTCCTGTACCTGCTGCTTCATTGCCTCTGAGCTCGTCTTCAGCAGAGATGTATGATTCATTAGTTATTTAACAATTTTAGTAGTTTAAACTTTACAGCAGAGTTGAGGCTTTATCGCATTCAGGCAGACATTCAGTCTACTTTCTTGGACTTAATTTTGAATGATTCATCAGAGACTGTTATTATAAACGATAATGCAGGAACTTTTCCTGCCTCTGATCAACTTCCTTGTTTGGCTGATGCCACCGAGCTCTCCACACCAACCACCGGTCATATAGATCACTTTTCAAAATCAAATCAACTCCCAACAGAGTTTCACTTACATTCAGGTTTGCTTGCCGCTTTTTAATAGATTCCAGATGGGACTCTGTTCTTTTCCTCTCCTTCTTCAAGTCATCCAACCAGACTGGCAGCTGTTTACACACGTTTTGTTAGGTTTTTGAATTATTTATTTATTACTGCACACTACTGTTCAAAGGTTTGAGGTCGGTACGATTAAAAAAAAAAAATTTAACATGTTTATTCAGCAAGGGTGCATTTAATTCAAAATTGGAAAATTCAAGAAATTCTGTTCTATTTTTGTATTTGTATGTTTGCCCACAAAAATATTAAGCAGCACAGATTTTATCAACACTGATAATGCTATGAAATGTTTCTTGAGCACCAAATCAGCATATTAGAGTGATTTAATTCTAAAGGATCATATGACACCAAAAAATAAATAAAAAAATAAGGTTTACCATCACAGAAATAAATAACATGTTAAAATATTAAAATAGAAAACAGTTATTTTAAATTGTAGTAACATTTAATATAATACAATATAATTATTTTCACTGCATTTTGATCTAATAAATGCAGCCTTGGTGAGCATGAGACTTAAAAAAAAGTAATCCTTAAACATTTAAAAAATCTTACCAACCCCAAATTTTTGAACATTAATGCAAGTCTTAAAATTTCTTCATTGTTGCAGTCTGTGAGCAGGTTAGAAAATCTGTCATTACCTCTAAGGGTTTTGGAGAGATGGCTCCAGTTCTCCTGATCAGTTTTGGAGAGCGTGGGAAGGGCTGGGTAACTTGTGTCCCTGAACGAGCTTCGGTAACTAGGCAGAAGGAACTGATTTCCTCTGATAAAGACCTAAAGTCTTTCTCTGCCATCTCTCCAAGTTCTCTGAGCTAATGGAAGTTGATGTGCAGAAACATCATAAATATCACTTTAGTAGTTTTTAGTGATCATAACTCTGTCATGTACAGTTGCATTATCTAATGATGGAATGCAAAATGCAAAAAGTACAAAATGTTCTAAATTAGCTTGTTTTCTCAGAGGACATGAAAATGAGTTCCTTCTGACTTCCTGCTAATGCACAAAATGTCATAGCAAGCCTTTACTAGAACACACTGAATGCCAAAAGTTGCATTTATATCTGCATAGCCCAAAGCAAGGAACTGAACATTTGAAACGTAATCACACTTTTGAGCAGCCTGAACTTAAGGCTTATGCATTGACATTGGCACATTATCAAGTTGCACAGCTCTTGGAGTGCTTTAAAAAGTTTGATACTGTCTATATCTTAATGAGAATGTAAATTAGTTGTGTTCTTTGTCACTGAAATATGCAATAAAATAAGCAATAAAATGACTTACCTAAAAGACTGATAAAGAGAGTAAGTGAATGCATTTGGTTGTCGTCCTCCTGCAAGCACTTTTATGTTCGTCTGTGGAATGTGTTGAAAAAGGTGTGTAGCCCCTTTTAACAAGCCAAAGCCTGCTGCATATGCATATGTGTGTGTGTGCACACTTTTGCAGGGTTTTATAACTGACAGGATTATGTCTGCTCAATTCCAGACTTGTTGACCTGCAGGGTTCGGAAATAGCAGCAGATTGTGGTTTTTATTTAGCTGTTCTGAAATGCATGTTGACGCTTGCATTAAATGCATTTTGCAGCCATCAACCTCTTTGTTTTTCTGCCCTCTTAGGTACTGGCAGTTTTACGGACAGGATGAGTTCTGCCGCTATAATATGTTCAACCATCACTTTTTTGATGATGAGGTAAAAAAACAAACCTCCTTTGATGTAAAATGTGGTCACTGTAGTACATTCTGATAAGTCAAGATACGCTGTTGTGCAGGAAGCGGTCATGTTTTTTCAAGGCTTTCTGCGTGAGGAGGGAGGAGCCACGGTAGTCATGGTAACAGACCCCCCATTTGGAGGCCTAGTGAAGCCACTAGCCAACAGTTTCTCTCAGATGTCAATTACCTGGAAAAATCAGAATAAAGGTATGAGGAACAGCATGCATGATTTATTTTGATTTAACTTGTACTTGTGCATGTTTTACTTTCAAACATACTCCATTATTAAATGCTGTTTTCAACTGTTTACCCAAAAATGAAAATTCTGCCATTATCTACTCACCCTCGATTTGATTTTTTTGTTTGTTTTTTTTCCTTCTTCTTCAGTGGAAGATAAAAGTAGAATTGTTTTGGTTGATCTCACAAAAAGCTATCATATGGCTTCATTTGACTTGAACCAATTTTAAGTTACTTTTATGGTATTTTTGCATACTTTTTGAAGCTTGAAACCCTCAGTTTCCTCCCGTTCATTGTAATTGCATAGAAAGGAGAGACCAGCACAATTTCTCTGAATTTCTCCTTTTATATTCCATGGAAGAAATAAAGTCATACAGGTTTGGAATGGCATGAGGGCATATCATTCTTATCTGTTGTTGTTGATCTTTAGTAAGCAATGCAGCTGCGATGCCAATGATCTGGATCTTCCCGTACTTCTTTGAGTCCCGTATCCTTGAGTATTTTCCCTCCTTCTCGATGCTGGATTACCAGGTATTATAGGAATATTGTGTTAATGTTAATAAATATAATGATATATTTACAGGGGTTGATAGTCCAGTGTTATTCTTCATTCTCAGGTTGATTATAAGAACCACCCTCTATATAAACACGGAAAGACGGGCCGTAAGCAGTCACCTATTCGACTATTCACCAATCTGAGCCCCAAAGATATCATTCTACCAGAGGATGAAGGTTACAGGTGCACAAAAAACACAATGCAATCTGAGCTTGTTTTGGCCCAGAAGAGATACATCATAAGGATTTTTATTTTTTTTTTGTAGATTTTTTTAAAGGGTTTTTTGAGGGAGAACCAATTAAAAATAGATTTCGATTGCATTGAGGGTTAAACATGCACTTAATCATTTTATTTTGGAATGTAATTTGCTATAAATGCTGTTATTAACTGCTTTGAGGTGGTTTAATAATTACCACTAATATTTTTTTCAATCTTTCTCAGATTTTGCAGTGTTTGTGAGAGGTATGTGTCGGCTGGAAACAAACACTGTCCAAAGTGTGACACATGCCCATCGAAGAAAAAAGAAACGGTGAGTATAAACCAGGGTTATTAGAGTTTACTAAAAAATCAATTAAAAACGTTTACTGAAACATATTTTAAAAAATAACTTATTTCCGCTAGTTCCCAGGGCAGCATTTCCCATTTTAATTACTTTAACTTGATGTACTAAAATAACTAAAACTGAAATAAAAATTCAAAAACTATATTGACATAAAAAAAACAAATGAAATGACAAAAACACAACAAAATTACTTAAATATAAAAATTTTAAACTAATTAAAAAAATAGAAATTTAAAATATTAATGACAACTATAATAGTATATCTAGACATTCAGAATAATCAGTCGAGATGCTATACTGACGATACTGTAGTAACATGTTTCTACATAACACCTAAATTATTGATTTCTGCACTCATGCAAACGGGTTTTTCAAGTATACTTAATATTAATATAATTCTCTTGAACATTTTGCCAGCAGAATGATTGTACCGGGTGGTCGTGGTGCTCCGGGCCTGTTGAAACAAATCCACAACTAAGAACAAGAGGAAAAGAACAGTTACATGATCTCGCTCGCAGTGCATTACAAGAACGATGGTTTTGTGGCTGCTGAAAATGGCATCATAATCACAAAGTGAGATCACAAAGTGTCAAACGATCAGCACAATTTCTCTGAATTTCTCCTTTTATATTCCATGGAAGAAATAAAGTCATACAGGTTTGGAATGGCATGAGGGCATATCATTCTTATCTGTTGTTGTTGATCTTTAGTAAGCAATGCAGCTGCGATGCCAATGATCTGGATCTTCCCGTACTTCTTTGAGTCCCGTATCCTTGAGTATTTTCCCTCCTTCTCGATGCTGGATTACCAGGTATTATAGGAATATAGTGTTATAAACATGTTAATAAATATAATAATACATTTACAGGGTATTATAGTCCTGTGTTATTCTTCATTCTCAGGTTGATTATGATAACCACCCTCTATATAAACACGGAAAGACAGGCCGTAAGCAGTCACCTGTTCGACTTTTCACCAATCTGAGCCCCAAAGATATCATTCTACCAGAGGATGAAGGTTACAGGTGCACAAAAAACACAATGCAATCTGAGCTTGTTTTGGCCCAGAAGAGATACATCATAAGGATTTTTATTTTTTTTTTGTAGATTTTTTTAAAGGGTTTTTTGAGGGAGAACCAATTAAAAATAGATTTCGATTGCATTGAGGGTTAAACATGCACTTAATCATTTTATTTTGGAATGTAATTTGCTATAAATGCTGTTATTAACTGCTTTGAGGTGGTTTAATAATTACCACTAATATTTTTTTCAATCTTTCTCAGATTTTGCAGTGTTTGTGAGAGGTATGTGTCGGCTGGAAACAAACACTGTCCAAAGTGTGACACATGCCCATCGAAGAAAAAAGAAACGGTGAGTATAAACCAGGGTTATTAGAGTTTACTAAAAAATGAATTAAAAACGTTTACTGAAACATATTTTAAAAAATAACTTATTTCCGCTAGTTCCCAGGGCAGCATTTCCCATTTTAATTACTTTAACTTGATGTACTAAAATAACTAAAACTGAAATAAAAATTCAAAACTATATTGACATAAAAAAAACAAATGAAATGACAAAAACACAACAAAATTACTTAAATATAAAAATTTTAAACTAATTAAAAAAATAGAAATTTAAAATATTAATGACAACTATAATAGTATATCTAGACATTCAGAATAATCAGTCGAGATGCTATACTGACGATACTGTAGTAACATGTTTCTACATAACACCTAAATTATTGATTTCTGCACTCATGCAAACGGGTTTTTCAAGTATACTTAATATTAATATAATTCTCTTGAACATTTTGCCAACAGAATGATTGTACCGGGTGGTCGTGGTGCTCCAGGCCTGTTGAAACACATTGCAGGCAAATCCACAACTAAGAACAAGAGGAAAAGAACAGTTACATGATCTCGCTCGCAGTGCATTACAAGAACGATGGTTTTGTGGCTGCTGAAAATGGCATCATAATCACAAAGTGAGATCACAAAGTGTCAAACGACTAACTGGTGTTAAACCTAGATGTATACAAGAAGGTTGTTGTGTATGTACAGCCACAGTTGTCTTTTTGCATCCTGTTTTTGTCACAAGCTCATCCTACACTAGAACTTTCTCAGTACAATTGACACGTCTGAACAAACCTCATCCACGGTCTGGAGTAACATTTCAAAGAAGCTTTGTTCCAGCTTATGTGGCTCAAACAGTGACCATCTGTGGATAAAACCTTTGAATACAACTACTGTATTACTGGAATGGATGTCATTTTTGTATTTTTCAAAAATGACAAACAGATTTCTTGTTAAAGATATCATTTTTAATATATTTAAAGAAACTGATCCCCAGAAAGCATGTCATACTTCCTGTTTTCAAAAACATTAAAGGAACAAATTATTGCCAGTTTTCAAAAAATATTGTGATTTATAATCTATGAGCTGTAACACAAACAAACCAAGTATTTGGCTTGAATTTAAAATAGTCTTTTGGTTGATAATCACCAGTAATTATGGATTCAGCCAAAATCAAGTGATGCTCAGCACCTAGTTTAAGTTTTAAGCTTAGTGTTATTAAAAAGAAAGAAACGCCAACAGTGGCTTCAAGCCTGTCCCATCAATGCAGATTTACATAAATCACCTGACACATTTGTTAAGGTTTTACAACACCAGAAATTCAAGTTATTAAAAATAGAATATTAAAACGAATCAATCATAATCCATAAAGTGTTAAACAACCGCACAGTACTTATGCCTCATAATCTGCGATGCTTCATAACCCATTAAGCTGCCAATAATTTTTAATACTTCACATGGGTCTTTTTAGAGTCTGCCGCTGTTCGCTTTTATATGGTGTCGAGCCATGTAATGCTGCTCCAATAGTGGTTAAATTCACAGTTTAGTTAACAAGGGAAATTGTAGTTCAACGTTCAGAAATTCTAAAGTTATTAGATATTTACATTTACAACTCCTTAAGGCTCTTCAGAATCATTATTTTTGCTACACAAAATGGCTAAACAATTTATACAATTGTCTATAAATTAACATACATAATGTTTTCCATCTTTAAGTCAGGCCCATTTCTCTGAACTGTCCTTATGTAGTTGGTGGAGGCACCTGTCAGTCATCTATCCTTCCATGGCGTACAGAGAAGGCGATGAGTCGTTTGTACATAGCACTGAGGAGAACGACTGCAGCTAGTACTATGCCACATATGACACTGAAGGTCCATCGGGGTCCCAGGATGGTGTAGACGTGAGAGACGAACACAGGCCCGAGGGTCCGCGCACCACTTCCTGATGCTGTCAGCCAGCCCATGTAAACCCCCTGAGTTCACACACAATTGGGGAATGGAATAAATAACATGAATTTAATTAATCATAATGTTACTTTAATTTGAGATTTGAATAAGTGTTTTACCTGTGGTTTGGGGCCCAGTATCTTGGAGTATAAAGTGTAGGACATTACGTTGCATGTTGGATAACCCACTCCAATCAGGATGTCAGAGGTAATGTACTGTGCGAGATGAATTACAGGGGTAAACAAGCACCAGGTCTGTTCAGACGGGCATCCAGTGGGCTCCAGAGAAGTGTTTGAGGGTGGGGTGGGTGCCAGTCGTATTGTTGGCATAGTGTTATTCTGAATGTCTGTTTATGGGGATGATATTAGTTTAATACACACAAATTTAAGCTGTAATATACTGTACATTAGCATTCAAATGTATGGGGTGGTAAAATTATTGTATGTTTTTAGAAGAGTCTCATGCTCACAAAGGATGAATTTATTTCACAGCCATTACTCCAGTCTTCAGTGTCACATGATCCTTCAGAAATCTTTCTAATATGCTGATATGGTGCTCAAGAAACATTTTTTTATCAATCTTGAAAACAGTTGTGCTGCTTAATATTTTTTGCAAAACATAAAAAACATTCATAAACATTTATTTAAAATAGAAATCTTGGTTACACTTTATTTTAAGTTGCTCCTCAGTTACAGTGTTATTATACATTGAAGTACTAAGTAATATATATATATATATATATACTTATTACATACTTTATACAATACTTACCATATTGTTAGGTTTAGGAATAGGGTTTGGTTTAGGGTTAGTTGCATGTAATCGTGCATAATTTACTGTTATTACTACAGTAAGTAAATGTAACAAAGACACTGTAAAATAAAGTGTCACTTTACTGGCACTTTTGAGTTTAATGCATCCTTGCTGAATAAGAAGTATGTCTTTAAAAACCTTTTGAACAGTAGTGTATATTGCTATTTTAATAAAATAAAGTAAAACCGCGCCAAGTTAGTCAGATATCTCACCTGCCCACTGTATTTTAGGATATTGATTTCCCCATGGCAACAAGATAAAGAAACCTGCAAATATGAGAATCAAGCCTCCAAGCAGCAGTGGCCGATCTCCTATCCTGAAAATAAACCCCCCAAAAAAAACAGAAATTATTTTATCTGAAAGCAATGAGGAAGTCATGTGTTCAAAAACTGCTAACGTCCATTATATAGGTGTTGGGTACAGAAGAAAATAATGCAACTGACATGAAGTTTTCCTAAGATGACCTGTTGTAAGACTAAAACATTGTAGTCATCTACAATGAGATGTTGATGTGTCAGATTGAAGTAAAAAAGCAGGTCTAAATGTTCAGGGTTCTTCAAAACATATAAAATAGATGAGATGATATTGCAATTGAGAAATATAGTCTAGCAGGAAAAATATGGTCCCATGTACCCGCTTGGTTTTGATTGTGCTTTCATTGCAAGGATATTGAAAAAACAACCCCCCACACAGCGGGGTCACTTTTGATGAGGTGGAGATTGATGATGATCAGTGAAACAGTTTTGATGACTTTTGCTTTCAATTAGCTGGTATTATCAGATCTATGCCACTTGGAGTGATTGCCATCCATTTAACAACCTTGCAATTGATTTAAGAGAAAAAGCTAGTTTCATTTGGTTAATGCCAAAAACTCTTGCGAAACAAAATAGCAGACGTGATATTGTTATGAGCCTAAAATGTGATATTTGCCTGTTTTCACCGGTAAAGAGTGGCTGTACCATGTCAATGACCTTTCCATTTGATTCCTGGTGTCAGAATTATATGAAAAAGTGGGTTAATTTGTCTTTGTATGTGTGGTTCAGGAGTTATGAAAATCGGCATTTTTCGCCACTCGCATTGAAATCAATTCAAGATGGCCGCCAAACGAACCCCATGGGACATTTGTTGACCTCGGCAACATCAAAAATTCTTAACCAGACACCATTAGGGTCCCAAAAAATCAGGTTACAAAAAACTGCCAAGCAGGTACATGGGAACCTATTTTTCCTGCTAGACTAATATTAATGTCGAAAAAAAAAATCCAATGACCAAAATCAAAATGGCATAAACTAAGCTATTCAAATGTCAAATCTTAAAACGTTTTTTACCGTGCTGAGACCACTTTTACCACCAGGAAGACGAGGATGGACTCAAAGCCAATGGCAGCCAATATGATACCGTTGTAAAAAACGGCTTCTTTTCTCGTCCACGCAAACATGTCCATTGATAGAGGAGTAGATATACTGCAGGCGAAAAAAAATACACATGAATTTGAACCGATTACTAGATAAGCTTTTAAAAAAGTCTAGATGAAAGTATCACCACTTACGTTTCAAACACCGCAAAAATGAAGAGAATAACAAAGAAAAGGACATTAGATGTGAACACTGCGATCTGGTCGATATCACCCTCTACCTCAGGAGCCACATCCACTCGCTCTAAAGGCAGAAAGACAAAGCACTGTGTAAAATCATTTGAATTATTGCGTGAATTATTATAAAACAGACTGTACAGGGACACCATTGTAATGCAACAGTACACTACTTAAGTATTTAAACAGTAAAATAAATATCTTACCTTCTGGGGTGTAGTTAATTGCACGGATAAGCTGTCCATGGTCATCCACAAAGTGCTCCCTAAATAATTTAAAACACTTTTATTCTATGTATTGCTCAATTCAAGAACAGTCAAATAATGTAAGCTTTAGGTCAGACCTGGAATAAAACACTCAAATGTATATGTATTTATATGCTATCATATAACTATTGTTTAGCTGCCAAATGCTGCAAAATACTGAGGTTAAATAATTACCTCAAGACTAATATAACCAGCAGAATGTTAATGACCCCGAAGCAGGCTGCCAACAGAGCTGGAGCGGTGTACATATTAACCCGAAGCTGGATGGCATTCACACTGACGCCAGTCTCTCCAAAGAATGACAAAGCAGCCTGCAGAGCTGAGAAATTAATACAGTCAACATCTTTTAATGTCAATGATCCCTATTAAATTATATTTAAAGGGGTCATATGATGCTGCTAAAAAAAACATTATTTTGTGTATTTGGTGTAATGAAATGTGTTTATGCAGTTTAAGGTTCAAAAAACACATTATTTTCCACATACTGTACATTATTGTTTCTCCTCTATGCCCCGCCTTTCTGAAACGCGTCGATCTTTACAAAGCTCATCGGTCTGAAAAAGCGAGGTGTGCTGTGATTGGCCAGCTATCCAGTGTGTTGTGATTGGCCGAATACCTCAAGTGTGTGACGGAAATGTTACGCCCCATACCACATTGTGATGATGCCCTGTCAGGCGGGAGCGATGATTCAAAAACATGAAAACCCATTATAAACGAGGCATTCGTTGCATCCAGTCAATAATGACTTGTACCGTCTTTTTACGCATTGCGTTGCATCGCGCCGCGTAAACATAAAACCATGTCTGCATTTGTGATCGGAGAAATGACAAACAACAAGCCCTACTCTACACTGCCCAAAAAACTCGCTTTAAATATAAAAAAAATAAAATATAAAAACTCTTTAAATATAAAAAACGTACTTACAAGTCTTTGAGTCAGAACAGCCGGCATTGTAGTCTACTCTCCCAGGATCAGGAAACAGTCCTCCATAAAATGCGCTACACACATCTGAATATTTGGGTTGAAATGTTCTGGAACAGTGTTGTAAATACAACTTAACCACTGATTTCTAGTCGTGTCCATTTTTGGAAGGCCAAACAAAGTAGTTTCGCTTTCACAACGAAACACACAGCGGGCTAGAGTGAGCGGAGGCCCAACAACAATACTACAGCCAGAATAAAAGTTACGC